ATGAGGAATTGCGATTTACAGAACAGATAATTAGCACCTCAAATAGAGCTACCATAAACCTAAACATTCTGAGAAGGCTATGTGGAACAAATTGGGGAGCAAAACCAAAAATTCTCGACACAACATATATCACCGTAATAAGGCCAATAATGGAATATTGCAACACCTGTTTGGGCTCCCTCAAGTTCATCACTAAAAAGAAGACTAGACAGTGTTCAAGCAAAAGCGGCCAAATAAATCACTGGTTCTGTTTCAAATACCAACAATTAGAAAATTAAGAGAGAATGTAGTCTAGACCTACTTGAAAGCAGAAGACAATTAAAAACAATAAAATTCACCAATAGCTTAAAAACTAAAGAAACCGAACACATATCCCATATAACCTATTTAAACTGGACACAAAAAGAAAGGTTCAAAAGAACTTCAACACTTCAGTACGACAACAATATTAGAAAGAGCATAAATATGAAACAATGAATTTCAAATTCGAGAATAACCAATATTTCCTACCCCATTGCCATCAAATGTAATCATTAATCTTAACCTAAATGAACCCTGCATTAAAAAAGAGAACAAAAACATACTTAAAAAGAAAGGACTTGACACAATTGGTTTATGCGATCAGATAAATTATTTAACAGCATATACAGATGGATCATCAGACCTTACCATAAGTAATGGAGGGGCTGGAATTAACATAATACTGCAAGATGGAACATACATAAAATCAAAGAAGGAGCAAGAAAGATTTTGTCAAAATTCACTTGTGAACTGACAGCTATCTGGAAAGCTCTTGATGTATGCCTTAACCAACCATCCCTGCATCAAGCAGAAGGAATTATAATATACCGTACAACGACTTCATATCCGATCTAGAAGCAATTCAGAAGGGCAATACTATAATCACACAGAAAATACATTCGTTACTTACTCAACTGATATCATTGGAGAATAACTGCATTCTACAACGGATTCCTGCCAGTGTTTGGATCGGGGGTAATGAAATGACAGTTGAATTTACAAAGGAAGCCAGAAAGTTGAGCCAAAGGAAAGAACAAATGTCATTATTTGACGCTAATGCTTTTGCAAAATACAAGATAATTAAAATATATATAAGAAAAGATCAAAATGTGAAATAAACTCCGAGAGGAAAATGACAAAACTATAACAAGAATCAGAACAAAACATTATAAAGGATGACAATACAGCCAGATGGTACAAGAACCTATAGAACATGCAACAACTGTCCTGGTGTGGAACTAACACGTACCCACATATTCTCATGCCCGCAGCCTTGCAGAAAATTGGCATAGAACCAGAGCAGCTGCTTTACACACCCAAGATAGTGGACAATGCTGCTGCTGCTGTGATAGAGATGCATGGAGACATCTGAGGCTTTTCATTGGACACGACAAAAACAACAACGGCATTCCAGAGTAAAATAAATCATCAGAGATAGATAAATATTTTACAAATGAATTAAAATAAATATAATCGATACTGAGAGAGAGTTGAATTAAAAAAATTATAAAATTATTATTTTCGAAATTTAAATAGCTGAGAGGATTCCAGCAAACCGCATCTAAAATATCAGTTTTTTTTTGCTTCATGTTTCAATTTGCATATACCTATTTTACATATCTCAGATTGTATTTAAAAATCGTTAACCATTTCTTCTAACTTTTGGCGAAATGGTGTTTTATTAATTTATCATTAGATATTATTAGGGTTCTTTCGTGGTATTCAAAAAGGAAAAATACGTGTCGTTCAGTTATATTTTTCAATTTATCAAACAATTTGGCCGCTGAATCGCTGATTCTGGTAGAGCGCCATCTAGCGAATAAAGTTGTAACTAAAATCAATTCCGAATTTTTCATTATTTGCTATGAAAAATCTCATTGCATCCTGAACACAATGGTGTTTACCGCATTGCTCTAGTGCAAATATTCACGGAGTTATTAATTTTTAAAGTTGTGCGGGACTTTTGGATCACCCTGTATATGTATAGTGGGCTATATGGTTTTAAATTGTAAGTAGAATTGAGGGATGTCTATTTTTCGGTTGATACTGTTTTTATCTTCTATTGAGTCCAGCTTTCTATAAAAAGTCTTGAATATTTGTCCTTGATATTTTGATATGCTACACTGGTGTCCAAAAAATAAGAAACTTAACCAATATTGAAATTTCTCAAAAGCTAATTTATTAACAAATATAAAATTAAGTATACAAATAGTTTAAACTATGGAGAATTTGACTAGCTATATGAAAATAAAAAATATATATATTTGAAATTATGAAATATGCAAATTATTACCAACATACCCAAAGCTAAGGTTCCAGATCTTAAAGAAATAAGATATCAATAGTGAGTATGATCACCTCTAACAGCTATCAAGGTCTCACAGCGAGCCCTAATACTGTTTACCAGGCTTTGGAGGAGGTCCAGGGGTAGTAAACCCCACTCCTCCAATAGAGCAGTTCTTAGCTCAACGAGGGTTCTGGGAGAGGGGTGACGAGCTCCAATACCCCTCCCTAGAGCATCCCACACATGCTCTATTGGATTCAGGTCCGGAGATCTGGCTGGCCAATCCATCCTTCCAATATTTTCACTCTGGAGATATTCATTGACTAGCCTAGCCCTATGCGGACGAGCATTATCGTCCATAAAAATTAAATTGTGACCAATTTGATCGCTATAAGGTCTTAGATAGGGCTCAAGGATCTCGTCCCTGTACCTTTGGGCAGTTAAAGTGCCCCCAGAAAAAAATGTGGAGGGGTGTGCGTCTGCTAGAACTGATGCCAGCCCAGACTAAGAGATTGCCCCCTCTAAAACTGTCTATTTCCCTGATGTTACTGGGATGATAGCGGGTTCCAGGCTCCCTCCAGATGAAAACTCGTCGAGAATCTGTGTTTAAACTAAATCTTGACTCGTCATTGAAGAGAACATTGGCCCACTGATCATGAGTCCAGGCGTGATCTTCCAAGCACCAATTCAAGCGGGTTCTCCTGTGAGCAGAGGTTAGAGGGATACAGACCATTGGTCGTCTTGCATAAAGAGCACCTTCGTGAAGCCTTCGGTAAACAGTTTGTCTTGAAATTCTCGTTCCAGTAGCACTTGAGAGTTCATTAGAGAGTTGAATAGCTGTCATCTCCCTATGGCGCTTGGCAGTTACGACCAGATAACGGTCTTCAGAGGTAGCTGTTTTTCTTTTTCTACCAGAACCTTCTTTTCTTTTGATGGTTCCTGTCTCAATGAACTGTTTCCATATTTTGCTGACCACAGATTTATTCGCATTTAGCTATTTTGCTACTTCAACTTGTGATTGTCCTGCCTCCATTCTTCCAACAGCTCTCCATTTTAAATCATCTGCTAAAATATTTCGTAAACTCATAATTAACTAAGGATTAAATAAAATTATAATTGAACAATTCTTAGATGGGGTAAACGACACGCCAAATAGCACACTTATAAAGATAAGCAAAAATTTGCATATTTTCAATTTTACCGAATCGAATGGTTGCGATAAATAAATTCTACGATTTAAAATACCTAATTAAATTACTTTTTAGCTATTAGCGTTGTAATTTTAAAACATATCATTAAAAAACAAAAGTTTCTTATTTTTTGGACACCAGTGTATTTCAGTTGAGTCAAAATTTGGTAGGTGGTCCTGTTTCAGTGCGTGGTCTACTTAGAGGGAAAGAGGGCTATAGTTTTGAAGGGCTGTCCAGTGTTGATTGGTTCTCTCTTCTTTTTTTCCTGTCTCTCCTAAGAATGTAGCTGGGCAAGATCGGCACGGGATTCTGTAAATGAGGTTGGATTTTTGACTGTTGTTTGTGTTATGTTTGGAATCGGGATGGCGGAGAAGCGTTTTTAAGTTGGATGGTGTCTGGTATATCGTCTTGATATTATACTTTTTGAGGGCTCTACTGATTCTTTCAATGCCGTAGCTGTACGGAAGTGTGCAATATGATTTCTGAGATTGGCTATTGGAAGGAGGGATGAATGTTGATCTGTGGAATTGTCTTTTGACAAATTCTGTGGGATAACTATTACTTTGTAATTCATTCATTAGTATTATTTTTTCTTGTACTTTTTCTAGATTATTAGAGCAATGAGTAGATATTCTTTTTGAGAGGGTTTTTATGACAGAAATTTTATGGTTAATAGGCCCGAATGAGCTGAAATTCAAGTAACCACCTGTGTGAGTTGGCTTACGGTAAATGCCTGTTTCTATTTCAGAGCTGTTTCTGGTGAGAATCATATCTAAGAATGATAGTTTTTTCTTTTATTTCATGGACCTCAATAGAAGATAAAAACAGTATCAACCGAAAAATAGATATCCCTCAATTTACTTACAATTTAAAACCATATAGCCCACTTTACATATATATACCATATATATACCATATATAACAAACCATCAGAAACTGTTAAAATTTTGGAAGTTATTTTTAAAAATCATAGACAACGGAATAAGATTAATTTTGGAACACATGTTGACAATATAATTTTGAAAGCTACGAAACTAAAGAATATATTGTTCTCATTATGTGCACGTACTTGGGGCATTGATACTCGACGTAGATTGATCTTATATAAAGCTATGATACGCTCTACAATAAGCTATGCATCAAATATTTGGTTTCCTTTTATCACTGCAGCAAAAAGATCCAAGTTGAATTCTATACAATATCAAATTCTTATTAGATGCATTCATGCTTATAGGACTTCATCTTCTTACATCACACATATACTAGCGAAAACCCCTTTACTGTCCGATTATCTTGAATTATTACAAACAAAGTATAATATGACAAATTCTCTCACAGATCGAACACTCATAAAACCCCTTCAAAAAGAATTAAACAAACTATATCTGGATCTAAAATTTAAGTTTTATCTTTCTCAATCTAATGAATTGTTCAAGAAATTCTTTCCAATTGCTGTCCCAAATTTTATTTCTTCTGATAAATTCACTACTTTATTCTTAACTGGCAAAGGACCCTTCTTAAGTTTCCTATTCAAACTGAATGCTATCAATGATCCAACATGTGAATGCCGCTTAGATGTTGAATCACCAGAGCATCTTCTTTTATCTTGCCCTCTGACTAATCAAATTGTATGTAGATACTTTGAAACATTACCAAATTCTCTTTGTGTATATACTCTATCTTATGAGAACTTTGTTAAGTTCAGAACTATTTGTACAATAATTTACAAAACAATACTAATCCATCGTGTAAATAATTAATCATATATATGTAAATAATACTAGCACAGCACAATAGTCCTTTGGACTTCGTGCTTTTGTAACAATAAATAAAAAAATATATATATATATAACAAATTACTGATTTTCAATTCTTATATTTTAAATGTGTATATTAATTTATTTTTATATATTGATATTTTATATATTATTTTCTCTTATATTAATTTTTATTATATTTATAAACATGAATATTGTAGGTTTTAGATATTTTAAATTTTTAGCAGTTTTACATACTCGTGAATTGATACGCGAGCATCTCAAAACAGTCTTGTTTTTTATTTTATTTATTTATTTTTTAAACTTTGGTTTCCCGGAAGCTGCCCGCCGAGTCGTTTAAGGAACTCAGGCGGATCGCTGGTTGGCATCGTTTATGGTTAGAACTAGGGCGGTATCTGATCGCCTTCGAACCTCTAAATTTCGTTCTTGATTAATGAAAACATTCTTGGCAAATGCTTCGCAGTAGTTCGTCTTGCAGCGGTCCAAGAATTTCACCTCTAGCGCCGCAATACGAATGCCCCCGTCTGTCCCTCCCAATCATTACCTCGGGATCCGGAAACCAACAAAATAGAACCGAGGTCCTATTCCATTATTCCATGCACCAATATTCAGGCACCAGCCTGCTTTGAGCAACCTAATTTTTTCAAAGTAAAATTGCCGGAGAACCCGATCAACCGGTAAAAGCCAACCGGGCCCACCAACGTGCTGTCGGCCCCAACGATAAACGCTTTGCAACGCATCGAAGGGAGCGCGACTGAGACCCAACTACGAGCTTTTTAACCGCAACAACTTTAATATACGCTATTGGAGCTAGAGTTACCGCGGCTGCTGGCACTAGACTTGCCCTACAATAGATCCTCGTTAAAAGGTTTAGAGTGTACTCATTCCAATTACGGAGCCTCGTTTGAGTCCCGTATTGTTATTTTTCGTCACTACCTCCCCGTGCCGGGAGTGAATAATTTTCGCGCCTGCTGCCTTCCTTGGATGTAGTAGCCGTTTATCAGGCTCCCTCTCCGGAATCGAACCTTGATTCCCCGTTACCCGTAACAAACATGGTAGGCGCACAACCTACCATCGAAAGTTGATAAGGCAGACACTTGAAAGATGCGTCGCCAGTACGAGGACTGAATAGTTAATAAAATAGTTATTCAGAGTCACCACGACTATCGGAGTTGCCCCCGTTTGGTCTTAGTATAATAAAGGCACCCTCACCCTAAAAGGGACGAGGGCTAAATTGCATGTATTAGCTCTAGAATTACCACAGTTATCCAAGTAAATGTGTACGATCTAAGGAACCATAACTGATTTAATGAGCCATTCGCGGTTTCGCCTTGCTAGAGCGTGTACTTAGACATGCATGGCTTAATCTTTGAGACAAGCATATGACTACTGGCAGGATCAACCAGGTATCCTTCGTTAGTCCCCGCCGCGAGACGCCCTCGGGCCGCCTCGCCGGGACCACGCTTAGGGACGCAGCGTCCGCCTCTCCGTGGCGGCCACCGCACTCTCGACCCCCTCCGCCGGAAAGGCCGAACCTCCACCCACTGGTCCAGGCACTTTCCACGCATCCGTCCAGACGCGAGTTCGCACAACCCAGCCGGTACGCCTTCCGCGATCGCGCTGTAAAATAAACGCTTTCTCCAGGTTAATAATCGCTCGGTAAGCCAACGAGGAACGCCATTGGTAATGCCAAAGTTGTTCCCCGAAGAAGTTTGGCGAGTTGCCACACGAAATATTGGAAATGAAACTTTATGATCCAGAATAAGCATTTTAAAATAATATATATATGGTAATTTGAACCAACAACCCCATATCGTATATAACTTATAACAAGATTTTCATGTTGTATAATAGAAACACATCTGTAAATGATTATACGCATGATTGACATGTGTCATTGCATCATCATATGTAATGTACTTTGTACAAACTGAGGATAAATAAATAAAATTCTGTAATAGATTAAAAGTTGAGCTGAAGAGATAGAAGTCAAAAACGTCTAAATTCGAGATAGATGGAAGTCACAAAACAACATCTAAAGATAGATTGGAAACTGTCAGAACGGCGCCAGTTTAGAATTTCACCAGACGATCCACGCTCTTCACATCTGGTGAAATGCAATACTCCCTTTCTCAGAAAAGGCATATAAAGCCTCTTTCCTAGCCAAAAATACAGTCACTTCACCATCTGCGTGAGCCCTCGTCGGTTGTACCCCAGGTCCACCTCATCCACCATGTAGACCAGTAAGAACTCTTCTATCTCTCCATCTTTCGCTCCTAGCTCAACTTTTATCTGTTCACGGAACTTTCTTAGTGCAACTGTGTCTTCGTTTTTTGTGTATGGACATTCCCAAGCTTTCCACACTGCCTCGACCACGACTGCCTGTACTTGTGAGAACTGTAAAAGGTCTTACAAGGTGCAGAGAGGTACTGAAAACTCCTTATCCTGACGGTTCCTCTCGGTCAACACAGTATAGCGAGAGTCAACAGGATCTCACACCACATTTTAAGTCGACAGGACATTATCACATATTCAGTCGACAGGATGACCAAAACGAAGAATGACCAAACGAAGAAGGTAAGAAGCCTGTCCAGATAGAAGCGAGAAAGAGCGAAGATGGAGGAACAAATCGGCCATTCCAACGATACGACTGAGCAATATACCCCAAACAAGAAACGAGATTGGAGGAACAAACCGAAATTCCGACGAAACGACCAGGCAATATCTCCCCAACAAGATATATTTATGGAAGAAACGTCGCCGCCCCAAGGGACCTCCGCAGACCCGCTAACATCGCCAACGCCGGGAGCAAGCTGTCTGACCACCCCAACGACACAGTCGAAATTCCCGCAAGTCATGGAAATCGAGGAGCAACGAAGTGACGCAAACCAGGTGAAAAATTCTCCACCTTCGACTTGACATCGTCGTAACAATGCTCAAAGCGACAAGCCGCAAACGACTTTATAGAAGTTACAAGCTTCTACAAGCTTTACATGGAGCGACTTCCACGACAGCAGGACGACCACCAAAGACCAAGTCTCCCGACTGAACAATCATCACACAATTGTAAGTTTTTAAAAAGAACCTACCTTACTTTATCCTCAAGTTCACAACTTGATTCCCCATGAATTTTGTATTTACGTTTTCACTTTGAGCATTTTAAAATCAATTTTTACCTTTTTATATCATTTTTTATTCAATTTTTAAAACTTTCACACTCTCATTTTTCAAATTTACTTTAATTTTTAATCAGATTATAAATTTCAAGTTATTACTCTCAATTTTTACTTTAAAAAAAAATTCCGCCCATCACGCATTTTTACCAATTTACTAATTTTAAATGTCTTTGCAAAATTTACCTAAAATGGTACTATCCAAATCTACAACTTAAAAAAAAATCATTATTTTTATATATAAAAAAAATCTCATCATATCAAAATTCAAAACTTAATTTTGTTTTTCTTAATATCATTTTCATACCAAAATATACCAATTTCTTAAACAAATACTTAAAAATATTTTTAAAAATCATTGTCATATTCACCATTTCAACTAAATGCCCCAATTCAAAATATTCTTGTCACTATCACGACATTGCCCTTTTAAAAGAATCATTTTAACTAATATAATCAACAATTTAAAAAATATATTCAAATTTTAAATTTAAATTAACATAGGTGAATCGCATTTTTTTTAATTGAAAAAAATCGAAAATACAATATCTTCAAAATCATAACTAGAAAAATAACTGTCCTTCCCCAAAAAAAGTTAAAAATCCAACATAGCACACTCCCTCGTCTTTTCCTTTTACATGCATATTTAAACATCAACAAATCTCTCTCAACAAACGTTACAACACTCACACATCACTTTATCCAATTGGCAACGATTATTAGTGCGCGACTTAACACACAAATCCAATTAAGAGCCACACGAGCTCCATAACGTCGCCCCACTAAACGCATAATAAAATTTTCGCATTAAACATGCCACATCTACTAACAATATAAAAACTTCTCAATCTGTTTCATACAACCACCACCCATGACTTTAGTAAATATGTTATTCATGGTGAAACAGGTTAGATTTTGTACCAAACAACGACTTCACGTGACACCTTTTCATTCACAATTTTTCACTTCGTGTCACAGCGCCACACCACAAAACATTTTCACTTTTCAGGCCAGAGACGCCTTCACGCCTGTGCCACATCTCACGCCAAAGCGTGTCTACGTCGAAATTAACACTTTCACTCACATCTAAACCTGACATCACTGAATAACATTTTTACTAAGTCTAAACAACTTCGAAACACAACCACTTACGAACATCGAAAAAACTATATTTTCAAATAGGCCAGAAATACGCCAAACTCAACAAAAGAAGAGAAAAAGAAAGTCAGTTACAAGTAAATGACAAAAAAAACAAACCATCCCGCACGAGTCACTCCCCCAAGTCGAATCTATTTCTGTGTTGTTATCCAAGACGAGGCAAGATTAACTAAGCATTAGTTTATTTCCTATTGTAATATATGTATTATATACAAGTCAAAAGAGATCACTAGCAGAGTATTATTCCTTTTGGTTTCCAGAGCTCAACAATCTATGAGCCTAATACTCTGCACATCTCCTCCCTTAACTTTACAGGAACCTTCGAGGTATCTTGACTGCCCTTCCATATCTTGTATGCACGGCTGGCATTGAAGGGAGGCTCTTCTCTGGATCCTGGTCTTGGTTGTCCCTCTGCATCCTTCCATCTCTTGTAGATGAGGCCGTTGGTGTAGGGCAATCCTCCTCGGTCTCTTACTCCTGGTCATCCTTGCATCTCCTTGAGAGCCAGGTTGATGTCGAAGTGGGGGTCTCCTCATTTCTCTGCTCCTGGCGCTGGCCATCCTCAGAAGCATCCATGGTACTTCCCATTTTTGGTAGAGGTGTGAGGTGGAGTCTGTTTCGCCTAACTTTTCTTTGGGGAGTTTGTACCCAATAGGAACGCGGTTCTTCGGATTTGTGAAGAACTGTTCCTTCTACCCTTTGATCTCTAATCCAAACGCTGTCCCCTTGTTAAAGCGGAGGCAAGCTATGTACATCGTGTCGTTTATCAAATAGGCGCTTCTGGTTGATCACTCTCCTTTTCTCTCTTTCTTGCAAAGCTTCGGAGTCCAAGTACCTTGGCAGCAGTGATGATTCTATTGCTGGAACAGAGGTCCTAAGGCGTCGTCCCATTAATAGTTCAGCTGGACTATAACCACTTTCCAGGGGCATCGTTCTATATGCTTGAAGAGTCAGATAGCAATCTTCTTCTTTCTTAAAACTTTGCTTTATATTCTTGATAATTGCTTCAATAAATCCATTGCTTTGAGGGAATTTCGGGCTGGATGTGATATGTTTGAAAGACCATTCCTTAGAAAATTTTGTAAATTCGGAACCCAGAACTTTTTGGAATTGTGGTCCATTATCGCTTCTCATAGTCTCAGGTGTTCCATGCCTAGCAAATATAGATTTAAGACGGCTTATTACTTCTTGAGCAGTTAGATTTTGTAAAAGTGATATTTCTGGGTACCTGGAGTAGTAATCACATACAATTAGATACCATCTCCCATTTAGATAAAAGAGATCCATTCCGACTTTTTGCCAAGGCCTGATCAGAAATTCTGAGGGCATCAAAGGTTCATGCTTGGGTTTTCTCTCCTTCAAGCATTTTGTACACGACGAAACCATCCTTTCAATCTCTTGGGAAATTCCTAACCACCAAACCGATTCTTTTGCTCTAGATCTGCATTTATTGATCCCAAAATGGCCTTGGTGCAATTTCTCAAGGATATCTTTCCTCAATGACTTAGGGATTAGAATTCTTTGTCCTCTAAGAAGAAGACCATTCTGATAGGTCAGGTCCTCCTGAAATTGCCAGTATCCTCTTAGTGCTGGATCTACTTCTCTTTTATTCTTAGGCCATCCACTCATACAGTATTTAGCCAATTGAGAGCAAAGTGAATCTTCCTTTTGCTTTCTAAAAATCTCCAAAAGTCTTTCTTCTGTCGCTGGAAATTCAATGGATTGGATGTACGCAGCAAGTTCTTCTTCCAATTCATCTTTATGTGGTTAAGACATAGGCTTCCTTGATAACATATCAGCCACTATTTGCTTTTTGCCAGCAATGTGACTTATTTGATAAGAATACCTCATCATCCTCATTTTTAATCGCTGAAGTATGGGAGTCATGTCTTCCAAGGATTTGGACGTAAAAATTGCAATCAGTGGTTTGTGATCTGTTTCAATATGGATTTTAATACCTGTAACATAATCCTTTAGTCGATCACAAGTCCATACTATAGCCAGTCCTTTTTTTTCAATTTGGCTGTATCTTTTCTCCGTTTCTGAAAGTGTTCTAGATACATAAGCTATAGGTTTT